TTCCCCCCTCATCTTCCTTGAGCTCTTACTGACTCACTGCCATTCCAAGCAACCCAGAGCTCTTGCCTCTCCTCTGCCATTCCAAGTAACCCAGAGCTCTTGCCTCTCCTCTGCCATTCCAAGTAACCCAGAGCTCTTGCCTCTCCTCTGCCATTCCAAGTAACCCAGAGCTCTTGCCTCTCCTCTGCCATTCCAAGTAACCCAGAGCTCTTGCCTCTCCTCTGCCATTCCAAGCAACCCAGAGCTCTTGCCTCTCCTCTGCCATTCCTGAACTCACGCTCGAAGAAGAAGCAGCCACTGCTCCATATTGGTAAGCCCTCCAACCCTTGTTATTGTTATTTTCCTTGATATTTCACACAATAGGGCAATAAAACGTAGTTCTTAGGACATAGGCCATAGAAATCGTCCCAAACCTCTAACTGTTCATGGTGTTCTTCATCTGCGCTGATGAACTTCGAAGAACTGGGGCGGACCGGGCTCCAGGTCTTCGTTTGATCCAAAAAATCATCTCGACCGAGCAAATAACCTGTTAGATATAACCGTAGCAAGAACTGGGATAACAAAGGTCTTGGCCGCTCAACTGGGCTAAAATCTGGTCTGCTTGGGCGGCCGAGCTCCTTGTCAGCCTCTACGACCGAGGTGGTTTGGCACTCGTGACGACCGAGCTAAAGTCAAGCTCGCTTTGTGCGACCGCGCTCCCTCTTACACTTGCCCTCCTTTTCCGGCAGAGTCCAAGGGGACCACTGTCCAATCTTGAGGCTCCCAAAGACCAAGCAGCCACAAATCACCTGACAGTGCCAAACCAAAGCCGAGCTAATTTAGCCGGTCGTAAATGGGAAAATTTCGCTTCCTCGTAGATACTCCAGCTGCCCTAGCTGCGTTCAGGGAGGAGTACGGCATCCCGGCCGATGTCCACCTAGAGCTCGTAGAAGAAGAGACCACGCCTTGGGGCAGAACAGAACAATGCCCCTTCACCGTGCTGTCAATCGTCGAAGGAGGCCTCCGCTTCCCACTCAACCCACTTATCACCGAGTTCCTCCGCCGCACCGGGCTGGCACCCAGACAAGTGTCCACCAACACTTACCGAATTATCAACGGCGTCCATGAACTGAACAATCGGCTAGGCACCAACTTAGGTCTAGCTGAGATATTAAGGCAATACACTATGGGTCACACCGGTGACGACCTAGCCTATTACTTGAAAATTAGACCGGGCAAGGAGAAACTTGTAACCGGCACCCCGGATAAAGACTTGCACGACGACGATTTTTTCTGGGTGTCGGGTAATTACGAAACAGCCGAGGTACCGGGTTGGTTTATAAGCAAGAACTTCGGTTTCTCATGTAAGCCGCTCAAACTTGCTCGGTCAACTTACCTTCTTTATTCTGTAATTAACCAGTTTTCTTGTTTCTTTTGCAGCAATCCAAGCCTTACAAGCCAACTACCAATTTCCCAACGTAGAGGCAATTCGGACCGTGCTCCGTCATCGCCACCGAGATTGCAACGAGTTGTTCGGCTACACTCCAACCTACAGATACTCCGCTCCCCGCCAGAGTAAAGTTACAGACTTCCTCCGTGCTCCATCACCTCCACCAGATCCAACTTTGCCAGACGTTCCACTAATCCGGCTGACAGAAGAGCAAGGGATGGCCAAACGAAGTCGAATCAAAAACCTGCTGACCGTAACGTCTGCCGAGATACCGAGTGTCGCCACCCGCTCTCCAGCCGCCAGTCAGTCAAGGGGCGCCGTGGTCGCCCTTGCTTCTCAAGCTGCCGGGGAGTCAAGCCAAGTAACACGCCGGGCTGGCAAAAGAGCTCGCGCGGACCCGTTTGCCGAGCTGATTACCGAACTATCCACTGAGCAACCTACCGTCACAGCTGAACCAACGCCGGCATGGAGACCGCAGCTCAAGCACCGGGAAAAAGAGATCCCGGCAACGGCTTTCGTCAAGGGAGACAAAGAACATTTTCTTGCCTTTGATCTCTCCAAAGCCCTTCTCCTGCCGAGCGACGTGGTTGGCAGCGACCACGTTCTTGACACCCAGCTGGTGAAATCAGCCGTGAAGTCTATGACCAGGGTAAAAGTGTCAACCTTCTACTCTAATTTTCTTAGTGTTTGCACGGTTTCTTCTTCCCTGATCAGGTTTCCTTTTTGCAGGCCATCCAAAAACAACACTTAGTCATGGAGCGCATCCACCGACTTCGGCAAAAGGCAGCAGACACTGACAGCCAAGTCCAAAGCCTCCAAGCTGAGCTTGGCCGGGTAGCATATCTCCAAATTGCCAATGCTGACAACAACAGGTTGCACGGTCAGCTTGACGAGGCCGAGAAGAAGCGCGATGAGCTCCAGGCCGAGTTGGACGCTCTGAAAAAGTCAAGGAAGAAGGACTGCCGAGATGCAAACAACGCCGGCTTCCTAGAAGCCGAGGGAAGCTACAAGAAGCGGGTCTTCGCTACCCAAGACATCTACTTCAAAGCGGGTTGGAAGTCTGCCTGCGAGCATCTCGGTCAGGGACCTGATACTGACGTCTTTGCCACCCCGCTGCTTGCTTCCCTGCCGGCCTACCTCGTGCCATATGCCAATGACGTCTTCAGTGCATTGCAGGCTGAGGCCGAGGAAGGGCTTGAAGAGGAAGAGGCCGGGGAAGATACTGACGGAAAGGAGCAACCAGAACAGGAGCAGCCCGGCCGAACTGAGCCCGGTGTTGAAGGCCGATCTCCAGCAGTGAACTTGGAAACAACTCCGGATGATGAATTCACCAATCTCTCCCCCTTAGCGTAGTTTTCTTTTTTTTAATTGCTTTGCACATGTAACCGGGCTCTCTGCCCCTCCTTTTGTATTAACTTTCTATCAATAAATAACTTTAATTGCAACAAGTGTTCGCACGGTTTTCTCGAACTCTATTTTCAGCAGAACATCTCGGTTTAAATCACGAAGTTGCACAAATCACCAACTAACCTGACCGGAGTTAATATCTTGGTTTTAATTCTGAGAATTGAACAAACCATCAACTCCTTCAACCGGAGTAGGACATCGCGGTTGGAATCTCTGAGTTGGACAAACCACCAACTCCTTCAACCGGAGTAACTCATCTCGGTTGGAATCTCTGAGTTGGACAAATCACCAACTAACCTGACCAGAGTTAACATCTCGGTTTTAATTCTGAGAATTGAACAAACCATCAACTCCTTCAACCGGAGTAGGGCATCTCGGTTGGAATCTCTGAGTCGAACAAACCATCAACTCCTTCAACCAGAGTAAATCATCTCGGTTGGAATATTTGAGTTGAACAAACCATCAACTCCTTCAAACGGAGTAACTCATCTCGGTTGGAATATTTGAGTTGAACAAACCATCAACTCCTTCAAGTCTGGGGTGCACCGTTTTGTTGTACTTCCTTGAGAGCTCTTGTTGGTAGGCAGCGATGTGGATGAGAGCCTTTTCCCGGCGCTCTTCTACTAGATCCAATTCCAGAGCATTGGCCTTGGCGTTTAGCTCGGGTTCAAAACTTTCACTTCTGAGAGTGGGCATACCTACTTCCAAAGGTATGATCGCCTCCATGCCATAAGCCAAAGCGAATGGAGTTTTCCCGGTAGAACGCCGAGGGGTAGTTCGGTATGCCCAAAGAAAGCTGGGAAGTTCCTCGGCCCACTTTCCCTTGGCCTTCTCAAGTCTCTTTTTCAGTCCGTCAAGAATAGTCTTGTTTGACGCCTCGGCTTGACCGTTGGACTGCGGGTAAGCCAGAGTGGAGTTGTAGAATTCAATCTTCAAATCTTCACAAAACCCTCTGAATAGGCGACCGTCAAACTAGGTGTCGTTGTCAGAGATCAAAATTTTAAGGACGCCGAACCGTGTTACCACATTTTGCCAGACAAACCGCTTCACGTCTTTCTCTTTGATTGTTGCCAAAGGCTCGGCTTCAACCCACTTGGTGAAGTAGTCTGTTGCTGCGATGAAGAACTTCCGGTTGCCTGGTGCTGTTAGGAGCGGCCCCACTATGTCTAATCCCCACATTGCAAAAGGCCAAGGGCTGGTTAGGGGAAGAAGTTCTCTGGCCGGCTGATGAATCTGGTGCGCAAACTTCTGGCACTTCTCGCACTTGCGAACATATTTCTGGGCGTCGGCTTGCATGCACGGCCACCAATAGCCTTGCGAAATAGCGCGGTAGGCCAAGGACCTGCCCCCTATGTGGCTGCCACAGATGCCTTCGTGAATTTCGTACAAGAAGGCCTCCACGTTACTCGGGTGCACGCACTTCAGATAAGGACCGGTGAAGGACTTTTTATAAAACGCTCCAGATGGAGAGAGCCAAAACCGTTCTGATTTCATCCGGACTTTGTGCGCTTCTTTCTTCTCGGCTGGCAGAATCCGATCTCTGAGAAACAGGACTATAGGGTCCATCCAGGAAGGACCTAGCGCGGCGCAGAATACATCCGTCTGTCCGGCTTCCTCTATGCTCAGCCGTGGAAGATATTCAATTAACAAGGGGTTAGGAGATGCGCAATCAACCATTGAGGCGAGGCCGGCCAACTCATCAGCTCGGTTGTTCTCTTCTCGGCCAATCTGTTGAACTCTGATTGCCTGAAATTGCTTGATGTGCTCCCTGACCAAAGCTTGGTACTTTTCCATTTTGTCGTCCTTTGCTTCATAACTCCCAGCGACCTGGTTAACCACAAGCTGGGAGTCACTGTACTCCATTAGCTCGGAAGCCTTCATATGAAGGGCGCTTTTGAGTCCGGCCAAAAGTGCCTTGTACTCAGCCTCGTTGTTGGATGCTGGGAAGCCAAGGGTGATAGAATGTTCAATAGTTAGGCCATCCGGCGAGATAAGAATGATACCTAGCCCAGCACCGTGGCGGTTCGACGCTCCATCAACGAAAAGTTTCCACATCTCCCCCACAAAGAGCTTCCAACATTGCGAAGGGTCCTGAGAGTTACAAAGGTTGATGGGGTCGCGACTGTTCGGCCATTCGGATTCGAGTTCTGTGTTGATTGTTTCCAATTTAGCCACCCTTGATGATTCGGCACCGGACTCAGCAAGTTGATCTGCAATGCTCAAGTCCGTAGGCGAATCACCAGGTTGCGGTATTATGCCGGCCGCAGATTCTGAGCTGTGTGGTTCCATTTCTTCCCCTCTTGGTGATGCGGGACAGGACAGAGCAGGTTGGTCGGTGATATGTAACCCCGTCATCGCATTACCGGGTGGTAAAACCGTACAAACTGAGGGTGCTTCAGTGGTGTGCGCAAACTCCGCGTCGTTACCTC